ATTAATATAATAAACTTTCTACTTTTTTATCTTAAAAATATTTTAAACTTTTTAATAATATTTTATTTTAAAAATACCTTTCGATGATTCATTAATATCCATCAAACTTTTTTAAAAAAATTAAAAGAAATACTCTGAAATTTTAAAAATAACAATAAATTTTACCTTTACTAAAAAAAAATAAAAATTATTACGGTTATATATGGACGAAAATCATCTCTAAACTTTTAAGGTTCTTTTAAAGTTTTTGATTATTTTTAAGGTCCTTTTAAAGTTCTTGATTATTTTTTTAACCGGGTACTTACCAAAATATATTTTTTTTAATTTTATTTAAAAATGGTAAGAGTATTAATAAATTTTTAAAATATTATTGAAAGTAAAAATATATATATATATATATATTTGAAATATTTTTAAAAATTAAATGTTATTTTTAAACAAAATATTAACTATTTTCATTTAGATATTTTTTAATTGTAGGATATTTTTTCAACAAAAATATAAAATTTAAGGATATTTTTATTAATATAACTTATGAATGGTCACTGACAGAATAAATAAATAATAACCCATATTTAAAACAATTTGGCCATTAATTTGAATTAATTATGTACCAAATGTGAAGTCGATATTATCTCTTAACCACTTTCTTGAATGTATTGTGGCCTTTTGGGTGAGGCATTTTTAATTGTAATAAATTAAAAATAAATACGTGTGATTACATCCTTAATTTATTTCACACATTTCTAAATTTTTAATTTAAATATTAAATAGATTTTTAAACTTTTAACTTCGTGTTGATATGTATTTTAATTTATTTCAAAAATATAATTTTTTAAAATAGAGATTTATTATATCATATCATTGCAGAGTAGCATAATATAACATAACATTTAGTCGTATGACGTATGAAGGGGGCATAGGGCATGTGTCATCATACATAAGACAATTTTTCTATATTTGATTGACCTTGATCGACTTTACTCAATAATCATAAAAATTGGGTTGGAACGTTCCATATCTTTTGCCTCAACCTATAATGTCAAGATATCGTATCAAGACAAAATTTCGCTCATAACTTATTTAAATCAGCTCCAAGAAGGTCGAAAACATAGGAAATGGTACCAAATATCCTTTATTGAGTCGGATAAGTTGCCAAGCTGAGTGACGGAGCCACCGAGCCGAGTTGCGATTCAAGTCGTCAAGTGAGCTGGGGTGGAAGCACACATCGTGCACATGCAATGGCTGGGATGTGTATGCAGCTGCGGGGGTACCAAATCAGGTTGGGTCATGGGCGCGGGGTCGTATTTGTGTCCAAACGAAGCGGTAAATTGGGTTGGGGCGAGGCTTCTCGTGGGTTGGACGCTAGGCTCCTAAGCTGTGGATTCGACAAGGTAGAGTTGGGTTGCTTCAAATTCGAACCCGACTCTAGACCCGTGGATCCCTTCTTCCTCGCCCGACTCTCCCGTTTTCTTGCCCAATTTTTTTCCTTTCTCTTCAGATCCTAGCTTCTATTTACGACGTTCCTCCACTTGAGATTCGGCCACCGTGTTCCTCCGCTTACCTCTCTTCCTCACTTGTGATGCCGAAAGCACTTGTATAGTGAGTCTCAACATCACAATTTCTTCATAAAACCAAGCTTCTCACTAGTGGCAAGTAGACAAATGGAAACAACGTAAACCACGACCAAATTTACCGTTTTGTGTTTGGAATCATCGGACACTTTCCACTACTAATTTACCGTTTTGTGCGAAATATTTGGGCGATTCATTTCATGGAATCTTTATATTCTCCCAAATAAATAACTCCTAAATTTTGTGAGTTATTTGGTTATATATTTCGTTTGATCTGAGATATTTGGAGATACCTTCTTGGTCTTGAATTAAAAAATTTTTAGTATAAATTTAAATAACTTAAAATAAGGGCTTGATGTCGAAAAAAAATACTAGTTCAGGATCATAACGAAAAAAGAAAAGTTTAAAATGTCGATATCTAAACGTCTCAATTGTATGAAAAATGTCAATGAAAATGATAAAAGATATAGATATAGATAAGATATGTCCATTAATGTTTCTAAAATTTATATAAAAATAATAATAATAAATAATTATTTAACATGAGTTGATATTTTGTTGAATTTTTTAATAATAAAAATTAAGCTTAAAAAAATGAATTTTTTAATAATAAAAATTAAGTTAAAAAAAAAAAAAAAAACTCAATAGACCTCGGTCGACTCAATGCAATCGAGAGAACTCATCTGGATTGAGTTCATATAAATTAAAAACTTGGTTAAATTGAATCGAACCAACTTAAATTTATTGTTAATTTTAAAAAATATTATTTTTTTACGATACAACTATATAAAAATATATTTTTCATAATTATAGTCAATTCCATAAATATTATTTTGGATCCTTAAAATAATAGTTTGGCACATGAGCTCGGCCCCATGAGGATAACGAGTGGAGGGCACTGTGTTGAATAAGATGACATTAAGATAAAAAGAAATATTTTGGAGAAGTATTTTAGACTAAATCACTTGAACCAGTTGAAGTAGGTTTGTAACGGTCATAAAAAAACAATAACTCTTGGTCGCTGGAAAAGGCGCTAGAATTCCAGCGAGGCGTCGAAATTCTTGCTCCCCTCTTAGACACTCTCTCTGCCGACCCCCATGGCACACCAAACGCACCAAAACGATCCTTAACCATTTTTAGAGTCACTTGCAAAGAAAAGAGGAAGGAAATATTGAAAGAGAAATCACGAACGAGTTTTCTCTAGTGAGACCAACTGAACATATCTGACGTCAAAACGACCAATCCATGCTATGAAAACGCGACTGACGACTACAAGTACACATGAGGTAAGTTTTTCATGCTTTAGCAATGATGTTCTTCGTTGTGGACGTAATTTGGGTTTCGAGATTTTGGAACCTAATAGATCTATGTATTATAGGTGCTTACAAATCGTGAAACATCGTGGGAGTGAAGAGAAGGGACCAACAGAGAGAGATATAGAAGGCAAAGAACGATGGAAAATGTGGTCGAAGACGATTTTTGGATGAGAGAGAAAGTTGTCAGAAAATCGCGAGGAAAACGAGTGAGGTCAGTATAAGGTTCAATTCCTCGATTTAAATTAAGAAATTTGATTTACTAACGAATCAAGATAGACGTTGTAATAGGAAACGACAACCGACAATACTTAAAATAATTTTAAGGGACAAAAGCAAACGTACTTGAATTTAAAGGAAATGCCAACTAAGCCAACCAAATGGTCTTATTATCAGCTTGGTTATAATTATATGTTGTATGATGACACGTGCTCATAGCTTCACACGTGTCATATGCTTGTATATTTGAACGCTTATGAAATGATATGTGAACGATATGATATATAAATGTTATGCTATATGTGATGAAAATATATATTTATGATATGATATGAAATGCTTGATGACACGCTCATGATATAATATGTGATTGGAGCGGGTTGCAAAAAAGTGAATGAAACCGAAAATATATTAAAATATTACTCGTATTAATAAATGAGAAAAAAATAAACTTGCGAAAATATGGATTTTAATCTCTTGTCTGTACATATCAATTTTGTTGGACTTCACCTAGAAGCTCAAAAGCCCATGAGGCCCATTGGGCCTCCCATATTTTATTTAATTTCACATTTAGTTAAAAATTGTGAATTATCGTTCACTAAATTAGACGACTTTCTTCCCTCCAACACCTCCCCTCGAACAAAGTACACCTCTCCTTAATCGAGACTCACAATGGTATGATATTATCCACTTTGAGTATAAGCTCTCATGGCTTTGCTTTGGGCTTTCATCCAACACCTCCCCTTATAAACCCATAATCATTCCCTAAATGAGTTGACGTGGGACTTTCATCCAACAGTTGGTTGACTTTTGTTTGTTTGGTTACAATTCCTGTCTACTCGTCATGAACTTTGGGCTATCTTACGTGGAGTCGCAACTCTTCTCGTAGAAACCTTGTAGCAACCTTAAATTTTTATTTAACCTAAAGTCACTATTGTATATATATCATAGACATTTTATGTGAAAATACTTCATTAAAAACTTTATCTTAAAACAAAGTTAAAGACTTACATGTTTTCTAGGTCATTAAAATAAATAACAAAAAAAAAAAGACTAAAGAATTAGGAGAAGAAAGCATAATCAAATTTAGGTAATTGAATTTACACAAAATTGAAAATTTATGAGAAAAAAAAAATCCTAAAATTTGTTTGAAGTTCAAGAATTAAATTTATATTTAACTATTTTTTCATATATTTTAAATTTAACCCATCAATTTAAATATATATCAACTAATTAAAATAAAATATATCAGATCATCAAGATGAAATAAATATAACAATTCTAAGAAAGTAATAATAATAAATAAATAATACAATTGAAAAAAAATGCTAATAGACCCTTATCTTTTCAATATCTCATCACTCCGGTCAAAATAATAATTCTTTGTAAAAAGAGTAGATTTAGATATTTACTCTCCTCAATATCTCACCACTCAGTAACGGTCAAGATAGTAATTCTTCTTTGTGTAAGAAAGGCAGATTTAGATCTCTCTCCATTCAATATCTCATCACTCTTCTTCGAAATAGTAATTTAGACTCTCCTCTCCTCTTTCCAACCGCAGTAATTCTTCCTTTTGTAAAAACAGTATATTTACATCTCTTCTCTCCTCAATATCTCACTACTCCTTTTCTAACTGCACAGATAATAATTCTTCTTATTGTAAGAAGATTTAGATCTCTCTTCTCCTCAATATCTCACCCCTCATTTTCTAACTGCCAAAATAGTAATTCTTTGGTAAAAACAAAAGCTTTAGATCCCTCCCTATATCTCACCGCTCCTTTTCTAATTGCAGTAATAATTCATTTGGTAAAAACAGCAGATCCTTTACTAACTGCCCAGATAATAATTCTTCTTTTAGTAAAAACAGATTCAAATCTCTCTTCTCCTCGATATCTCACTCCTCCTTTTCAATTATGCAATTATTTTTATCAAATACAACTCTAAAACCTTTATCACATAATTGACTAATGCTAAGTAAGTCATGATTTAAACCATCAACTAACAATACATTTTCAATGAGAGTACAAGAGTCATTACCTATAGTACCCTTACCAATTATTTTACCCTTCTTGTTATCACCAAAGGTTACTAAGCCACCATCCTTCTTGGAAAGATTGACAAACTTGGATGGATTACCCGTCATGTGTCTTGAGCAACCACTATCCAAGTACCACTTATTTTTCTTGGAGGCTTTCAAACAAACCTAAAAACAAAGATATTCAAAATTGACCTTTTGGTACCCATACTTGTTTGGGTCCTAGAAAGTTAGTATTCACAAATTTAGGAATCCATTTCATATTTGCATTCATATTAAAGACATTGTATTTAGATAAGTAACAAGAATAATCTTTATGTTCAAACTTACCACACGAGAAACAAACGACATTATGCAAGAATTTATTTCTTGGACTAAATTTGTGTATTCTATTTTTATTCGAAAAATTATTTTCTAAAACATTGTTAAACTTTGTATTTTGAGAAACTTTTCTTCCTAAATGAATATTTTGAGAATTTTTCAATTTAAAGCACTTAGGTCTAATATGACCTTCAACACCACAATAATGACATATAGGCACAAATCTAGATTTATCATACTTAGATACAAATTTACATGTGTTAGATTTAGACAAGATAGGGGATGCTTTAACAAATATTGTTTTAGAACTTCAAGGTGTAGAACATTCATCAATATAGCCTAATCCTCTTTTATCACCATATGACTTACCTCCTTCAAGTATTTTATCTAATTTTTGAGCACCTATTGTTAACATTTTAATAGATTCCTTAGCCCTACCAAGTTCTTGCAAATTATTTGATTCATTCTCTTTGAGCAATTTAATTAATTTATCTTTTTCACCACAATCATGCTCAAGAGTCTTGACTTTATCAATTAATGCATTTTTCTCATCACAATCAAATACATGCTTTTCACAAGGTACATCAATTTTAACAATATTATGATCGTTCTCCTTTAAGCAAGAAATTTCATTTAGTAAAGACTTATTTTCAATAATTGAAGTCTTATATTTCTTTTTAAGCACAACATACTTTGAACTAAGTTTTTCTAAATCAATTGTCATCTCATCAACAAGTTTAAATAATTCATGATAAGAAAGAGATTCAAGAGTTACCTCATCTTCTTGTTCATCCTCTTTGTCACTATGAGCCATGAAGCAAAAATTTGCTACTTCTTCATCACTTCCACTTGCACTTTCATCACTATCATCCCAAGTAGCCTTCATTGCTTTCTTCTTGGATTTCTTAGATGATTTGAGGAGAGGACAATCCGTTCTTATATGACCCGGCTTTTTACATTCATAACATATTACCTCATCGTTTTTGCTCTTTTCACCTTTGGACTCTTTTTGATTTGTGAAGTGTTTTTTTAATTGTTTCTTCCTTTTAATAAAATTTTTATACTTACGTGTGAAGTAGGCGACATCATCTTCATCAAGGACGTCCTCATCTTCAGAGTCAACTTTGATGGACTTTAGGGCTATACTTTTCTTCTTTTTGGATTCTTCTTCCATGTGCCCATTCATGGTAATCTCATGTGTCATGAGAGAACCAACGAGTTCATCCAAAGGAAGCTTTGTGAGATCCTTTGCTTCTTGAATCGCCGTCACTTTTGCCTCCCAACTTTTAGGCAGAGACCTAAGAATTTTTCTTACATTTTCGGAAGTAGAATATACTTTTCCAAGATTTTTCAAAGCATTTAAAATATTAGTAAATCTAGTAAACATATCACCAATAGGTTCATTTTCCTCCATTTTAAATAGTTCATAATTATGAACTAACATGCTAATTTTTGTTTCTTTAACTTGATTGGTTCCCTCATGAGTTACTTCAAGAGTTTTCCAAATTTCATATGCCGAAGAACACATACATACTCTATTAAATTCATCATTACTTAAGGCACAATACAGACAATTGATAGCACTAGCATTCAAAGAGCATTTTTTCATATCATGCTCATCAAATTCATTTTCTAATTTAGGCACCTCAATATTATTAACAATTTTTATTGGAATGTAAGGACATTACTAACATTTAACCACAATTGATAATCAACGGATTGCAAATAAATTTTCATCCTAGCTTTCCAACATGTATAATTTGTTCCATCAAAATAAGGTGGCCTAGAAGTTGATTGTCCTTCACTAAAACCATTTTTAACACGTAGGTTTGCCATAAGCTCGAACAATAAAGTTTAGATAAAAAATCTATAGGAGCAACCTGCTCTGATACCAATTGTTGGATCGGTATGGCAACCCTAGAGGGGGGGTGAATAGGGTTTTAACGATAAAAGTGTTTAAACTTGATTAATTTTTTCTAATTATAAAACTTTTTACAAATAAGTAGAAGATGATAATTACTAAAACAAAATAATTCAAGTCAAAACAATAATCAAATAGAACATGCAATAAATCATAATAATAATCTTGAAATTAAATAGGAAAGAGTTAGAGAAAATGACACCGTAGTTTTATAGTGGTTCAGTCAAACTCGACCTACTCCACTCCCCAAGCGCCTCTTGGGAATTTGAATAAAGAACTTTTCCGACTCTTTCCACGGATCAGAGCCAAACCGGTACACCGCTCTTTTTACGAGTTCAAGAGCAAACTCAATCCTTTCCACGGCGCAGGATCAAACCGATACAAGTATTTGAGTTTGATAATAACACACCACAACTCTCTCAAAGAGTAGATTTACAATTTGGGATACTCACAACTATTTCCTCACAATATAATAATAATCCCTCTCAAGAATAAGATGATAAGAAATAAACTTGTAAGCTTGGAGAGAGCAACAAACAATGGAGACTTTGAACAAATGAGGATTGAAGAATGTATGTAAGTTGTGTGTTTTAAAAATGTGGGGAAGATGAGTTTATATAGAGGAGAAAAGTGGCAAAATGTAGGATTGAATATTGACCATTGGATTGTGTTAGGAATAATGGAACGTGGAGATTAAAAGTAATTAAATAATAAAATTTTCTAAATTCATTTATTTCAAAATTTTAATATAATAGTAATATAATATAATAATAATAAAAAGTTATGTGAGTAACGGTCAAATGAAATTCAAAATTTATTATAAATATAATAATATAATAATAATAAAAATGATGTGAGTAACTACCAAAATTTTAAAATATAATAATATAATAATATAATATAGTAATAATAAAATTCGATGTGAGTAACGGTTATATTCAAATTTATATTTTGTGAAAATAATTTTATTTAGAAATGTAATAATAAGAAAAACTCCACCATTTGTTACTCTTCCAATATTATAAATGTCATACTTTGATATATTTTGATTTGTCCATCATTTTGATTTTGTTGCCACATCATCACGTCGGGTATGTTGTCTCGACTCTAATTTCTTCGTTTTAGCTCTGATTTGAGTAATTGAAAAGTTGTTGTAATCGTTATTCCCGACCTTATGTCCTGGACAGTTCAAAAAACTGAAAATAGTTAATAATTAAAAGTAGGTTTGTTATCATCAAAACATCAATAATTAATTCATTGAAATTAATTAATGTGAGATCAAGGGCTAATAAGCCAACACTTTTCTAACTGATAAAATAGTAATTCTTTCATTTGTAAAAACAACATCTTTAGATCCCTCCCCTCCTCAATATCTCACCACTCCTTTTCTAATTGTAATAATAATTCATTTGGTCAAAACAGTAGATTTAATCTCTCCTCTTCTCAGTATCTTACCACTCTCTTTCTAATGAGAACATAGTAATTCTCCTTTTAATTTAGATACTTACCTAATAATTCTTTCTTTTTTTTTTTTGTAAAAACACAGATTTAGATCTCTTTTCTTCTCAGTATCTCACCGCTCTCTTTCTAATGAAAACATAGTAATTCCCCTTTTGTAAAAAATGAGAGATTTAGATATTTATCTCCTCAATATCTCACCTTAATTTGTTTTTTTTTTTTTTTTTTTTTTTTTTTTTTTTTTTTTTTTTTTT